CATATCAATCCAATTGGGAGTACATTAAGATAAAATAAAAATGTTAAATGGTCTGAAAGGCAAAAAAATGAACCTTAAAACCACTCAAAGTTATAAACACAACAGCGAAAATTAGTTGGATGAAGCTGCTACCCAGAAAATTGTAGTCCTAGACAGTTACTGTATTTGATTAATTAAGTAAAAAACTTTAATTGCTTAAATTGCTGAATTGCAACACATCCTCTGAAAGCATTACGCAATGTAGAATGGTACAGCAAAAAGTTTATCTGATGAAAATTCAGAGAATGGAAAGAAAGTTTAGCTCTTGAAACGTTGAAAATCAGTGTAAGAATGTATTTAAAAAATCTAGCTAGCATATGCTTTCATGACCTTTACTCAAGACGTATGTGAATTCTCTAGTTTTGTAAGTAGTGTGTTACAAAACTTACATGAGATGTGAGTCACTCACATCTCATTAGAAGAGATGTACTGCAGCTATATGTGTGAAGGAAGGATATTGTGTCGTATCGTTATTAATGATCTGATCTTAGAAACACTATACCGCTTGTGTATGTACGTACAGTATACTGCCCTTGTGAACACATGGTGCATTTTGTCCTTCCATTTCCCATCCACTTTACCCAATACAGGGTTGCAGGGGAGCCAGAGCCCATCTCAGTATGCAGTAGGTGCAGCTAGCACCCCAGGAATTGAACCCAAGACCCCAGCAGTGCAAAGCAGTAATGCTAACCACTACACCACCAGTAGAGCTTGTTAAATTTATTATTGCTCTTGTTAGTGTCAATGAGAATAATTCATTGGCATCTGAACATTGGTAAATGTGTGTTTAAATCTAGATTCATTCTACAGCAAGAAAAAAAAACAAATCAATTGTTTTGTTTTAAACTTAAGTCTTTATTGGTTTTGCCAGTAGTGGAAGGAGTAGTTTTTTTATATTATTATATTGAACCAAAGATGTATTGTACACCGCTGCAATTTTATTATTTCTGCCAGATTTCTGTTTGAATGTTACAGATGGTTAACTATTTATGATGATTTGCAGTGCCATTATGGCTCCTGATATTTGAATTCATCTTGGAAATGGCCAAGGCCTTTCTAGATAAGCTTTTCAGGTAGCCGTCAGCATAAAGCTGTTTTTCTTATTCTACATTTTTATTCTTACTCTCATTTTTTTTCAGGCGTGTAGTTTTTTTTTGTGTGCGGTACAGAAGAATAAGGTGATCGGGTCAACCATGTGAGGAGTTGTAATTGCCTTGTCACTTTTGGAAGAGAAATATTTTTCAGTACAGGTTCTTACCAAGGAAAACGACAATAGTAACAAACAGGATATTTATTTTTTTTATTCACACAGCTTTTTCTGTTTTTTTGTGGAATGCAACATGCGGGCTTTCCACAAAAGAGATTAAACATAAGATATATAGGAGATGCACTTTGTTGTTACCCTTGATTTTCTTATTGCACAATGAAACACACAGAACTAGATACAAAGAAAGAAACTGACTTAAAATGTTGTACAGCCAATCCTGAATTTCCGTTTTAGAGCTCCTAAAATGCTTAATCCATGAAGACTCACAGGTCACATTTGTCTTAGAGAGAAGCTTTCCATTTGCTTATACAGTAAAGACAGAACTCTGAATGAGTCTGGGAGAGCATTTCAAATTTAATGACTGCAGTTGCTGAATCTCGCTGCCTTTTCTGTCCTAGAGGGTGTCAAATTATACGACTTGGAATTGCAGGGGGTGACTAATTACACGATCCCCTCGCGTCTTTTCATCATGGTTCCAAATCTCGTATTGCGCGGCAAAAGTGCGGCGAGGTCGCCTCATAAGAGGAGGAGCACCAGACGAAAGTAAACAAACAACATGGAGAACAGGCAGGTAAACATCTTGAAAATGTAACACAGGCATTGTATTCCACGTATAAACATCTTCAAAAATTAAAAATAATTCTTGTTTATAAATATACACATTTACAAAAATAAGACACAGTTAAAAATATAAAACACCTTTAAAATCAATATTGTGAACATGTTAGTATTGTGCTATAACGTATAATATAACGGGCACATTATCTCACAAGAGCACATCTGGCTCACTGCCCACCCCTATGACTTGCGACTTGCTACGAGAAAAGCAAACCAGTTTGATTTTATCGTAGCGAGTCACAGAGAGTCACAGGAGCTATTAAGAGCACTATTACTGAGTCGCTGGGGGTGTCACACTACACAAGTGACACAAGTGGCGCACGCTGCGACCCTCTACAACTCGCAGTGATTTCCTTACTATTATGTAAAACAAGGTTACGACTGAAAATCGTAGGAAAAGTTGTGTAGAGTGATGCCGGCATAACTGGCTTTTTAAGAATTTTGATGGGGCAGTACGCAGCTGGCAGACCACTGCAGTTCCAGTATTTCACTACAAACTAGACAAAAAGCACAGTGAACCCAGACAGCAAGTCTGTACCCTGGGAACATGGTGTATAATAAAAAAGGGTAGCTTAACACATTTTGGAGGAGAATTTTTGTCATGAAACCTCAGCTGATGTGTAGATTGTGAAAGAGATTAGGGCTGAGAATACTTAGTTGTCCTTTAAATGGGGGAAACAACCAGTATTTTCTAAAAATACTGATTTTTTAAAAAGTATGCTCCTAAAGAGACCTGAAAACTAGAATTTTTTTGGAGGTGTTTGCATCTAGTGTAAAGAGGAATTCTTTTTCCTAGGATTTCCCATCTACACAAAAATCAAAATGACTTCCTGTTGTGGCAGCGTGTCTTACTGTATTATTATTGAGAATGCCTGTCAAGCAGTTAGATTCTTAAACAGATTCTTTTCTGCACTTAGTCCTTTTGAGTTAAAAAATTCTGGACTGTTTCCTTGAAATGGGAAACAAACATGAACAAACAAACATATGGTTAGTTCCAGATGCTCTTAGAGAGGAAATTGTGCACTGTACTTCAGCTGCTAAAAAATTGGACATTTGGCTTAATTTATACTTCCTACAAACAAGACTAATAAAAAGCATACCAAACATAGATGACTAAAACGATGGACAGTCATAATTTTAGCTTTTATAATTTGAAGATGTGGCTTGATTTTATTATCTCTGAAATTGAAAATGAAGATGCCTTTCAACTTGTTTATTTTGATACTCTTTCAACTTGTTTATTTTTTAAATTTAATGTTGCTTATGGGTGGATTTTTTTCTTGAATTTGGCTTTGCATATTTGGAGTATGACTGTGAAGTTTATTTTGAGCACAAATAAGAATTTGTTTTTGTTTGGCATCTCTGTTTAGTGATACTGTAATTATATAGCGACTCAACACAAAATAATGGAAAGATTGTTTTTAACGCTTGCAGATGATCACACACAATTAACCTCTTCTGCTTTGAAAGGCTCAGAAAATTAAAGAGGCAGGTTCTTTTTTTTTTCAAAAGGTTATGTAAGCAAGCATTTGATGAGTCAAGAACTTTCAATAATTTTGAGGCACATAAAAGGGAGGTGCTGTTTAAAATGACTGCTTTGTATGACCGATGAGCCGTAGTGCTCCAAGTGTAATTTTTTGCTTGAGTGGCCTTGCTGTGGACCATAAATCACCTACTGAGAAAAGGGTAGGAAAACTGTCATCCATTAAGTAATGTCAGGGCTTTTCAGTGGTTAACTCTGCTCTCTACCTTAGGAAAGGAATCTAGATTATTTATTGAGAAACTAAACATTAGTCTTGCATAGCTCACAGAAATTTGTGTTGATGGTTCCACATATTCTTATTTATGTTTTGATTGGTTTACTGGGACTCCTTTTATGGTTGGCTTTGATACTTAAAATAAAATCTGCATGAGTGAGAGAGCGACTTGATTATTTTTTTCTTATTATTGGTGGTCATATTTCAGTTGGTGATGATTCAGAGTCATAAAGACAGAAACATGAGACTTGCTCCTTACAAATTAACCAAATCAGGATCAAATCCTGAAACTGATATTTCTTAATCCTCTACCCTGATACGGTATGTGAATGCGTCCTCTGATAAGTATTATATTTTTTATTCAGAAATATTTTGTCATAAATTATGGTGAGATTAAACATCAATTGAGCTATTTGGATGTGCTGATCAGTGTTATGTTTGCTGTGAAAACATAGAGGCTTATGTCAAGCAAGCACTCATGTCACTATGAAATATAGTGGGATTCTATCACGTTTTGGGGTTATTTGGCATCCTCAAAGTCAGGAAAAGCAGGTGTCTGTCCATCTAGGACTCTGAATCCTAGATTCCACATTGTTCCACCTCATCCCACAGTTTTGGGATGCTTAACCACTGCATCTAATGAATTTAAAATCTCGCCAAGTAGTTAAAAATGAAGACCAAAATATTAAAATATATTTACATAAAAGTGTTTTTTTTCATTCTTTTGAACCTGTCTCTGAGATATTAATCTAATCCAGGTAATACCATTTTAGAGGTCATAGCCAAATTCCAAATATGACTTTGAACCAAATCACAAAGCAACCACACAGTTCAGCACAATTAAGTGTCCATGGAATGTGGTTTAGGGGAAAAGGCGAAGGAACCATGAGTAAGAACACTTGCAGCTGCCCAAAGCTGTAGCTTATTTGTGGCTAGAGCCGTGCCCAGTGCTTTCCAGTCTTGTACCATTCAGCAGTACAAATAAATAAAGTGCTTATTAAGTTAAAGAGATTTCACGCACTGCTTTGTCAAGACACATAATTGAAGCCTTTTCTCTTGGCAATTTGTGTTTTGCGAACAGCCAGCCAGAGCCAACTCAGTGGGTGGAGATATTTATACACGTGCACCCATTCACAGAGTGGGAATGTATATCATTATTGATTTATAGGCAGATTTTTCTGAAAAAAAAAATCCTGTTTTTATTTTTGACCGCACAATGACGTGGCCCCTGTTTCTGCCAAGCCTTAGACTCCCTAAGTGTTCCCACAGTCCTTAATGGATTGAATGAAAGGACTGTAAGTTATTTTTTTATTTTCTAGGTGTGGGCCAGTGATTTTCTTCCCAGTGAACCAAGACTGTCGGATCGCTGCCAGAAGAACTATTACAAAAAGCATGGGGTGCAGATGCTGCTGGAGTACTCCATGCAGGAGGCTCAAAGACAGGTACTGCTGTGGGAATCATGGTGCCTTCTTGTCATCTGTGTGGTTGTTATATTGAAGCCATACGCATCATCTGTCGGGGCACGCACTGAAAGGTTTTAAAGGAGGGCATGGAACCATGGCACTCACCTTTTCATTAACAGGAAGTTTTCTCAACACATTTCAGCATTGATTTACTGATTTCAACCGCGTCCGTAACTGGTTTGCACCTTCGAAATAGGCTCTGTCTTCCATCTGCTGCTGTGAATGAGTTCAGTGGCTCCCTCCCTCCTGGGCTTGTGCCCAATGTTATGCTGGCACGGTGGCGCTTGTAGTTCATTTGTGGCCATGTTTTGGTCAGCAAAGATAATTAGGTTTGTTCATTATCTTAGCAAAGAGAGGAAAAGATTTTGGGTTCAAGTTTGGTATGATGTGTCCTCAGGAGCAGCAGTTTAATTTTTTTACATTCCTCTGCCTCTAAGTAACAGCATCACCCTGGCCACTATTTGCAAGAGGAGGAGTGGGGGGACAGTATGCAAATGAGACCTGATTAGAAAACTCTGTGGTAATTCCGAATCCTTTCGGAAGGTTTTTTTGACTTGTGAAAATGAATAGGTGTTACTTGGAGTGTTTGTCGTCTGTCTCCCAGGTGCAAATGGAAAAGCAGAAATGTTATTTCTCGTTGTATGCCAGACATGTTACTTGCTTAACAAGAGGTCTATAATGGTGACAAGGTGCTAAAGTGCAGGAGAACTGAAGGAATAGAAATAAGGCTACCGATACATAGCAGTACATTCTTATTAAAAACAGGCTCTTGTACAAGTGGTACAGAAGCAGAAAAGCAAATACCATATACAAATTACATTTCAATTGTAAACCAAGATTCTGTATATGTGCATTTACACAAAAGAAGGTTGCAAGCAATGCACTATCTAGATATTGTCTAGATATTGTCGTGAGCTTACAGAGAAGAGTCTGTAGAGTGTCAAAGCTGAAATGTTTCAAAGTGTTATCCACTGAGACCCATATCTCTTTCTCTGAACAGCGTTTGTTTTCCTAAATCTGTTCTTCTGATGCTCCCCCTCATGTGTTTTCTGACATTTAAAAATGAGTTGAAATCAGCTGCTGTGCAGGAGGTGCTACACAACTCCAGTACTACAGGGACAAAACTTTGTAGGTTTTGTGGGTTTCCTTGTATCTTCAGAACTGGAAGAACTGGAGACAGAAGTCAAGTTGATTCATTTAAGCCAATAATGATACCAATTTATTTTGAGCATGAATGGCTTAAACATCTGCAAATTCAGTGACCCAAAGCAGTACAACTATGCATCTATCCCTGATTTGCATTAATCCAAACCATGGCTGCTTTTTGCTGCTACAATAGTCTGTGCTTCTGAAAGGCTTTCAGGGCTTTTTTGTTGTTAATTCTTCTAAGTTTGCTTTTTTATCATCTGTTTCCCTACTTGAACGTGTCTTGTGCTTTTCACAAGGTTGTCTGCTTTCTTTTGTTGGGGATAAAGTGAAAACAAGATAATACACCACAGGGTGAATACAAGTAGAGCTATTGACTAATGTGTGGCAATGGAGGAGCAATAGTATCCCCTTAAAACAGAATGGGATGAGCAAATACCTGCAAACTGAAAAAAATAATACAAAAAAGTGCCTCACTTTCATTTGATTTTTAAATAAAAAATAGCAGGGAAAAGACCTTGTGATGAATGAAGTTTTCTCAAATGGATATGAATATTTAGGAATATTGGGAGAAAATATTCCCACTCTCAGCACTTCTATCCCTTTCTATCCATCCTTCGCTAAAGCTGCTCCAGGTCAGCCTTGCTGGAGGGCTGTATGTCACAGGACAATGCTCTCTGGCCTGTACGAATGAAAAACAATTTAATCAGATTTTTTATTGTGTTTAGAAAACAAGACCCAGGTTCTCTTATAAAGATTTCTTAATAAACAGTTTGTGTTAAATGTATAAATCAACCTACATCCCCTTTTACACACAGCCCTCCTCCAACCATCACCGGGGACCCATTCTCATTTTTAAATGCTTTTTATGTGTAAGAACAAAAAGACTGGGAGACTTTTTTGTCTTTACTGCCCGGAACACAGTGTGTTGTCTTTCTTGAGGAATTAAACGAGAGTTTGAACAAAATATGAAAAAGAAAGCATAGAAAATAACATTTTTTTTTACTTTTGTGATAATTAAAGACTGAAATGGCAAAGCCAGCTTTGGCTCCTTTTCATGATGATTATTGCCAAACCAGTGTCTGGAAAGCAGAATTTCCCTTCTTTTTTTTTTTTCCCTGAACAGCAAAGCCAAAAATTAGCTCTGCACCAGCTCAATGTCTTTTGCCCTTTTATGTGTGCAACCAGAGAAACCACAGCTATAAAGTCTGTGCATATCCAGCACACAACATATTGAAACACATTATCACAAACCGATTATGTTTGTTATAACATAATTTTTTTTCAAATTTCAATTTGCTTTGCATTATTTGTAGTTATCCTTATATGCATTCATGTGGCTTTAGGAATTACAATGGAATTCCTGGTGTATTATTTCCCTTTAAGCATTGTGCAAAACAAAGGAAAGAAGAAATTTAGAGCCATCTAGTCTGACTTAATACAAAAGAAGGATGCTATTAGTACTTGATGGATTCACCTTTGAATATATAATGTAAGGCTTTTGATTTTTAATGGAACAGTATAGCATCATGGCTAATATTAATCTAAGATAAAGCAACTACTGAGACTCCAAAAGTCAGGACACATAGAATGAGATATGCAACGGATATGATATATCTGGAGCAACGCAGATTATATAACCTGTTTAAATTTAGTGGGATCAATTTCAGTTTTTTATATTAACTAAGTGAAAATTGAAGGGGTTTTGGAGAGCTGCTGCAAAGTTCAGTTGGCCATTTCATGAGAAAGTAATCAGTGTTTCTTAATGGCAAGAACACCACAACAAATCTCAGTTTGAAATTAGTTTGCCAGTGGGCAGTGGGTTCTGTTTCAAGTGTTTTACATAGCCAAAACAATAGCTAAAATGTACTGGAAAATAGCAATGATATGCAAGCAAGAAGAACATTCTCAGAAAAATAGAAAGGACTCATCTATGCGTGGCAGAATGCTTACTGTATCCCTGTGTTGAAAATTGAATTTCCCAAATCAGAAAAATATTGAAAATGGATTCCCTTGATTAGTTACAGGGGAGGAGGAACTGGTTATGTTTCCATGCACATTTGATGCATAGCTCCAGATTTTACTGTATCCAGTAGGAAGGCATTTGAAATCAAGAGTGTGTAGCAAAGGTGCGTTGTAAGTCTTCTCATTCTATTAGGTTATTGAAAACTGCATTAACATTTCAATCCCCAGTCCACGTGTAAAGATGTTTTAGGGTAGGCTTTAATGAGATTCTCCTTTGTTGTGAACAGAGGGGTTTTGTAACATTGTGTTGACTGTATCCATTTATTTGTTTGAGCTGAAAAGTGTCTTGGGGGCACCTAGAAAACAAAATCTCCTACCGTGTATTTGTAATACAGGCACTCATGTTCAAGGCTGGCATCAATATTCTAACACCACAGGCAAATTGTGTGAAAGGGAATATGATGGCCTTGTGCTTGGAATGCTATTAGTCATTTGTGACCACAGGAATCATATCTCTCTTTTAATTCTACATTTCATTTTTGGTCTCTAAATTGTCCCTGTACACTTATTTGTGTACAGGTGTCTGTGTGTGTGTCCTGTTATGGACTTGCATTCCATCCAGGATGTAGCCCTGCCTTGTGAACACTGCTTCTGGGGGTGGGGGCTCTGGTTGCCATGATCTTTAGTATAACAAACTTCTTGACATTGGATAGACTCTGTTTTTTTTTCTTGGGGGGGCAGTAATTCCCAGATTCATAATTCCAAGGTGTCAGCTGTTGTGTCATCTCGCCAAGCTCTACAAGTGTAATTTTGAAATGTCTTAGGGATCCTTGATTTATATGAATGCAACAATGGATTTTTTTGGCCAAACGACACTGTGGTTTAGGGCTTTCTGTGTTGTAGAAGGGAATCCTTTATGATTACACCACATACTGTTTGGAGAAGGCTTCTTAAATCTTCTTTTCAAATAACATTTTTGGAGAAAGATTAATTGTTTCCAATTCTTGTTGGCTGTTTCTTTTTAAATGTACATTTGAAACTGTCTAAAGTCAGGCTAACTGTCAATATGAAAACTTCCTTTGAAAGAGCATCTTAACCTCACCCTGCCTTTCAGTCATTTAGAATAAAAAAGCTGATACTGGTGGTGTTCAAGAAAGACAGATCCAGTTGGGTTTAAGCTGAGGATTAAATGGAAGCTCTATGGAATGGAGCTTCTGTTGGACACATTTCCTTGAGGGGCTTAGAGTTCTTCTTTAAACTGAATAGTCAATCCATTCCTGGTCCCAGGAGGAGGATCCTTGGACTGTCAAGGTTCAAACTTAGGAGAGGTGTTGCTTCACCAAGTCAATGAAATCAATTCAATTAGTTAACTTAATCAATCAGTCAAGGAGTCTTGATGTTTATAAAGCATAAACATATATAATATGTTAGGTCACTTCACTCAGTCCATTAAAATCTTATCATAGCTTTTGTTACCTGAAAACATCACTATGTTTAAACAAATGCCAAATGGGAACACACCTGATATCTTGATTAAGAATGATTCACAACAACTGAAGGAAAGTGTTCCTCCCTACATACCCACACAAGGGCCACAGAGCCAGAAAAACACACCAGAGCACAGTGATATACTGGAAAGCAATGGTGTAACCAAACTGAAATGAATCTGTAATTCACCATTGTAAGATGTTGCTTAACAATTCCTCTACGGTCATATTCAATAGACTACAGATACAGTGTACATAATGGTTTTGCATCTTTGCAATGCCTGTCTATAAAGGTAAAGATTAATTTTAAAAGCCAGATTGTAAGACCTTGAATTTTATAGCTGCGGCCTTCTAACAGATTTGTTTTCTAGTTGCTATCCT